TATCGTGGATAGGTTAAGCGCATTTTCAATTCAACATAACGAGACATCTTAAAATCATCTACATGTACCACAAAGAGAAGCCTACTTTTCTCCTGACGAAAACAGAAATTTGAGCTAAAAATAGTAAGAGAGTCTGTGCCCAAGGCAATACTCTTTAAAGCTTTCCATATAATGTCTAAATGCATAAAGAGTTGATAGCACCAAAGGAATAGATAATTCTAGTCATACAATTTTATAGAATTCGGTGTTTATTACTTAATTACGGTTAAAGGCATTCTGTCATCACGACACGATTCCCGCTTAAATCATATTCATGCCAAATGGTGTTTACGAAAATTACGTCATAATCTGATATTTTTTTTCTGAAATTAAAGAAACGTTAGACGACGAAATAATGTCACGTGCATAGACTAAAAATCTCTTTTGAATCATTTTATGCCCATTCTGAACCGGGATACTTATGGTCACGCACGGTTCCCAGTGTGCAACAATATATATGTTTTGTTAATATTATAATATTTTCTATAAAGATCAATGGAAGGAGTAATGTTTGTGTCATAACTTCAATTGGTTAAAGGGATTGTAATGAGGTTTTTGAATTTTTTTATGTGTATCGGGGACATTGATAGCATCGATTTGTACCATTACAACTTTCTATCAGACGTCTGAGGTCCCTGCAGTTCCATTAAAACAAAGCGTTTGATGAGTCATTAATCTCAAAATTTGCTTGTACCCCTATCACAAAGGGTCCTTCGCGATTAGTGACGTCATCAAAAAAGTAGAATTGCGAGAACCACAGACGTCTGCTTGAAAATTGGAATGGTGCATATTTATTCTTTCAGTGTTCCCGATACAAATAAAAAAAATATTACAAAACCTCTTTACAATCCCTTTAATAAGGTCTATTTTATTTTATTCATTTTTTCACCTTTTGCCATTTATATAACACTTCATTACGACCATACTACATAAATAACTATTTCACAATATTGCCATTTTAAAGGTATCCTACCTCTTAGGATGACAATTTTTTTTTAGATTTCTAATCTTGGACAAAATGAGTCTTTGTTCATCATTGGGTTGATCTGGTTTCGTAACTTTACAAAACAAAACACAGAATGATCCGTTAAAGGAATACTACCTCTTAGGATAACAAACAATTTTAAATTTTTAATCTTGATCTGTATGAATCTAGAGTCGTCTGTGGACTTACCTGGTGTCGTAACTTTACAAAACAAAACACAAATTGGTTCCTTAAAGGAATACTACCTCTTAGGATAACAAACAATTTCAAATTTTTAATCTTGGTCTATATGAATCTATAGTCGTCGATGGACTTACCTGGTGTCGCACAAAATACGGAATGGTCCGTTAAATGAATTATACCTCTTGGGATAACAAAAAGTATTAGATTTTTAATCTTGTTCAAATGAGTCTATATTCATCAGTCGGCTTTATCAGTGTCGTAGCTTTACAAAACAAAACACAGATTGGTTCGTTAAAGGTATACTACCTCTTGGGATGACCCAAAATATTAGATTATTAATATTGACCAAAACGAGTCTTTATTCAATGGTGGACTTAGCTGATGTCTTAACTATACAACGGAACCCCTGTATAAGCTGGTCAATCTGTGAAACTAAGTAACTACCTTCAAAATACAGGAAATTGAAAAACGCTGAATATTATTTTGAAGCGTTTTTCAATAATTACTCAGTTTAATGGATTTATCTTCTTAAACAGGGATTCTGATGCATGGTTATGACACCAGCTGATGAATCAATACTCATATTGGCCAAGTTTGAGAATATAAATGTAATGCTCATTCTTAGAGGTAGTGTTCCTTTAACAGATTAAGCTCTCTCTGGTGATGTCAATGCCACAAATCACCGCCTATCTGTTCAACAGAAACACTATATTTTACTCAGATTACCTTGATTATATATATGTTACTTGGTATTTATGTAATTTTTCTACACCGACTTCAAAAAATTAAAAATCGAGTAGAAAATTGACTTACTTGTTATTTTGCCCTTGACTTCGTCAAAATTTCAAAAACAAATCTGGATGTGTTGTTTCGTGTTTTGTTTGAAATTGACTCTACTTGTAATGCATGATCTGACGAAATTCTTTCGCATAAATCGCTCAAGGTAATTAAATTATTGAACCAATTAAATCATCTTTATATTAAAACCTTTTATCACTCGACCTTCAAGTGAATAAAAGCCTATTGGATATTCGGCGTAGCACTCTGATTAGTAACATTAACAGTGTCCGTGATCAGTTAAATTACGACACCTTTTGAAGTATACAGTAAAAATTTGACTGAAAATTGTCAAGTCATGGATAACGAATGTAGCAATCAAATGCAAAATACGAAACGTTTTAAAGCATTTCTGCATTTTAAATAGCACCTATCATCCAGTCTCGCTTTATTTTTTATTAAGCACAGTTGCGTCAAGACAGGAGAAGGCAGGGTGTTAGAGACTACATTTTAATTTAAAAAAAAATATCAAAAATAATCCGACCACAGAACACTGTGTATCCAACTAAAACTTACAACGACTACCGACAACTACCTTGTTTGCGATGTCAGCATCCACTGGAAGCGAACGTTAACATGACATCTACCAATCAACCAACCAGAAAACTGTGCATTGTACCAATCTTATAGCTATTAGAAACGATATTTCATATAGTTTGAAAATGGGAAGAAAGTACCTTACAAATTCCCGTTCAAATCAAAAGTACATGTTAGCCTATATTTTGTAACGCAAGAATTCAATGGTTATAAGAAAAATATGATTCACCGGTGTTGTTTTTCTTACATACATTGATCTAGTAAAATCCCAAATCAATTAAACTCTATTAGAAACTTGTCTAAATCATACTGCTGCTCTAGAAAAACATTGTACACCAAAGGGTCAGAGAGTCTACGTTCATCGACGTCTGCTTCTAGACTAATTTAAAGGAATTGATTAGCCTATTTCCATTCTTTTTTTTTTATTAGCTTGACTTATATCAAAAGCTCGGATATTTTTCTTCGGGGACTAATACGCTTCAACCCAAATTGTATTGCAATTTCGTTTCTTTTTTGTTGCCTAATTTTTTTTCTGTATTGTAATCTTACGATTTTCTACCATAGTCTGGGTTATTTTTAACCAACCAAGGCGTCATGTAGAACCCGTTTCGAAAACAGTGAATAACCTAAAAGTGGCTTTCCTGGTATTTTTTCTACTTATGGTTTCGCTGGTATTGGTTAAAAAAAAAGACAACGTATATGCTCGGTTAAGTGACGTCACAACTCCATTAAGATAAAAAAAAAGAAAAAGACATAGACGAAATAATTCCTTTAAAATTTTACATAATAGACATAGAAAAATTAGATACATAACAACTCATTGATTACGAGTGAAAATCAACATTAAACAGTTGAAATATAATTATAAGTTATCATAATAGTACATGTGTACACCTTGACAATTTGAATCGAATTGATATGCCACGTGCCTGTCCTTGAATTTATTGACGCTTGCTGGCTTATTTGGAGGTCCAGGGTTCAATCTCGGCATAGGTCGAGATAACCCCTTTTCAACCCGGTTTCTCATTGTCATTGATGCAGATTGGAGGTACTGATATGGAAAAGGCGCTAGTCGTTCAGACGGGACAATAGATCGGGGCCTAGTGTGCTACTGGCTGTTCAAGTTAAAGATCGCTTTAAAAAATAGGTGGAAATCGAAAAAGAGTAGGCTTATAAATGCCACTGTCCTGGAGAAATTTCCCCAGTAGCACACTGTACAGTGGCGTTGCCTGTCTTCATTAGTCCAGAAAGTAGGACGTAAAACTCCATTCATTTCAGTTTGTCCTTGAAATGAATTTGATATGTAACGTCTTTGACAATCTGTACTCGGAAGTGCCAGGATAATGAACCAAGTATAAAGCAATGAGGCATATAACTACAAATCTAAACGCATGTGTGGAATGTTAGATAATTAGCCATCAGTCGTGTCGTCAGTTGACTTGTCACTACAGACTAAACTAATGAGCATTCAGTGGCGTTCATTTTATCTCTGGGGTTTTCCCTTTCAGTTAGATTCAGGAAGCAGCCGACTTGGAATGACTGTCAATTCAAACAGTTTTCCTTTCATAATTAAAGGGATGCAGATGTCTAAATAGTATCTTTACCGAAAGACACATTTTTAAAACATGACATTTAGAACTAGAGATCACATTTACAGATTCTTGAAATGTTGTGAATTGTAAATATGTTCCGTAAAAATGTGTATCGGGGAAACTGATAGCATCATTCCAATTTTCAGTTAGATGTCTTTGGTTCCTGCAATTTCCCCAAAAGGGATGTGTTTGATGACACACCAATCGCAAAATATTCTTGTATAAGGCCTTTTGCAATTAGATACGTCAGCCAACACGTGGTTTAAATGGAATTACAGAAACCACAGACGTCCGATTGAAAATCAGAAGGTGCCAATTGATGCTATCAGTGTCCACAATACACATAAAAAATTCAGAAAATCTCTTTACAATTCCTTTACAACAATTCGACCAACAAAGCTTGAGATGGGATAGCACACGGAAAAATCCCAATGCATCTACTATTAAAATCAAATTACCAATCAGATGTTTGTTAATCTGAAGCTTAGGCAATCAATTGAAGGTGTGAATTGTTCTCAATCGATCATTAATCTGGAGTATTCGATGATCACATGGTTCATTCTCACGAAGTCACCGCTTGGGTCATAATAAATTCGTCCTGGCGACTTCCCGGGAAGACACAGATCACATGTTAACATTCAATTGACATTGGCGACTTTCACTCAGTTGAGCGCTTGTGACTAATTGTTACTTCATTTGACCAACATTACCTGGATTAGGATTTCTGTTTAGTTTAGAAAGTCAGCAACGTTCGTGTCTCGCTAAGAATGACCCCTGACGAAATTTTCTACAAATTTTATACTCGCGATGAATTTGAAAACTTTATATGCCCAGAATGTGGATTAAAATTTGGAACTTCTGTTGAGGTGGACAGACATCTTCGTCAACATACTGGTGAAGACAGTGACGGCGAAAATTTTTTCAGATCCGCCGAAGTATTCTCATACGCAGATAAGTCGGATAACAGTACAGTAACAGTGAGTCGATTAACCTGTTTTGACGAAAGCTCAAACTCTGTTGAAATCTTGAACAGTGTTGACCTTTTTGAAAATCCAACAGCAAGCGAGATTGTGAATGAAAGAAGATTTGATCAGTCTATCAGAAAAGGAAGAGGATCAGAGCAAACCGTTGAGAATGAAACTAGACCAAATCAGCTAATTGAGAATGCAAGAAGATCAGAGCAGCCCATTGAGAATACAAGAAGCATACTGCAGCCAATTGAAAATGGAAGTAGATCACACCAGCTCATTGAGAATGGACGTAGGTTAGAGCAGCCCATTGAGAATGAAAGAACTGTAGAACAGAATGTTGGGGATAACAGGAGTTTACAACAGCTGACTGAGTATACAAATGTTCTCACGGAGAGACAAAATGGCGTACGACCGTCAATTGATAATAATAACGTGCCACAAACATGTTTAAAGAATCACAGGAAAGCACAGAGCAGGAACCATCTCATTAAACGCGAAGCCTGTGAACAACAACCCATAAACGATGAATGTTCTAACAGGCCTATTGAAACAGAAAATAATCTATCTTGTGCAACTGGATATGTGTATGAATACGTTGTTAAAAGAGAAGTGGATTATGAAATACCCAATGATCTGATAGAGCACCTCCAAACAACAACAGCATCCACTGACGACCAAGTGAACACCAAGTTTTTCGAGTCTCAGAACAATTTCAGTGATTGTATGGAGGATCACGGATATGGAATCAAATATTCAGAATCAACAGAAAGTCATAAACCAATTCATGATGTTAAAATTACAAATTTTCACAATTTTGATGTTCATGGTGCCAAACAAGATTCTGTGGACAAAGGTGTGACGTTTCAAATATCTGCAGACGGTATTGAGCATGGATACATTCAAGCTGTGACGACTGAGTCCAGAAATAGTTCAATATTCTGTAGCCCAGTCAAAGAGAATGTGGCATTACAGCATCACGAGCAACAAACAAATCCTAGCCACCCCGACACACCAGACCATCTGACTGAAATACCAGAAACTTCAACACTGCAAATTCCAGAAAAGGACTTATCTAGTTCGATAAATCGCCAGAAAACAACACACGAACAGTCACCAGCCGATAGTTCTATTGAACATCCTGGAGAGGTACCTGTCAATGACACCAAACTCGATAAACCATATGAGAACAGAAGCGAATGTAGAATTTTTCCTCCAGAAGCAACTATTGATGATCTTAAGCAAGATGATCCAACAAATTATTTACCAGTTTTAGAGAAACCTGCACCACTGAAAAATAAAAGAGATTCAATTCAGACCATGCCTCATTTGGAACCAGTTTCGCCACTCAATCGCCAACACGAGGACTTAAACTCGAAAGAATCCAAGCAGGGGATGCAGGGATTAGCAAAAGGTGTACGTATAGGACAGATAAAGGAACAAGTGGTTTCCAAACACAGAAAAATTCGACAGTTTGTTTGTGAATCATTTCATTGTTATAAGACCTTTTTTAGTAACTCCGGTCTTCAGAAACATATGGTGAAGTTCCATCCGGGTTATGTACCACTCACCGAAAGGATTTTTCAAACACAGCTTCCAATATCAAAATCCAACAAACCCAAAACTGTGAAACATGTTCGTTTTTCAGAGAAAAATAAAATCCACATAATCGAACCCATCTTCAATCTTCCTCACGATATGAAGAATGGAAAATACGTTTGTCTTAAATGTAAGGGTGTGTTCGATGACACACTCGATCTGAGACAACACTTAAACAAATTTAAAAATAAACTTCACTGTGATAAAGTGAAACCATCAAAAAGGAAAGGGAAAAGAAAGTCGACAGGCGAAGTAAATGTGCGGGAAAATCCAGGATGTGTTCAACCGACATCTGAACTTTTGGATGCTGTCAGTGAACCTGCTTTCAAGGAATCAAACGTTCTGGAAATGGATACGAACGAATGCTCATCAGGCACAACTGATCCAGCAATGGATACCAATCTTCCAAACACAAATAATGACGATTCCGAACTTTATCGTACTACACGTATGAATCCAAACGTCGTTTCGGACAAGGGAAAAAAATCATTTGCTTGTTCAAAGTGCTCAAAAGTCTTCTACTATAAGAAAAGTCTAATGAATCACCTAAAGGCCCACAAAGACGCCGAATATCGATGTGAATTTTGTCCAAGTACATTTACATTAAAGAGATATTTAAACGAACATAAGAAAAGTGACCACGAGAATAAATTCCAATGCCCCATTTGTCATGCTAATTTTGTGTACAAAAACAGTTTCAGAAAACATATGAAGAAAAAACACACGATATCCCAATCCCAATATTTCTTTTAAAAAATGTAGGCCTGTTATGTATCCCAATCGTGATATTTCTTTAAAAAAATATATTATGTATCCTAATCGTGATATTTCTTTTAAAAAATATAGTATGTGTATCCCAACCCCAATCGTGATATTTCTTTTAAAAATATATTATGTATAATGTATCTCAATCGTGATATTTCTTAAAAACATATGTATCCCAATCGTGATTATTCTCTTCCCAAACTTACAGAGCCAAATTGCAGAGCTATCCGCACCCTTGACACCATTTAAGTCTCTTAAACAGGGATTTTCAACCTTTCACTTTCTATTACCCCTATTAGGATCTTTGATCGATTGCATTATCCCCTAACCCCCATGATCCTTAGGCCTACTATAATTTTGTGATTTTCAAGGTAAACTGAATCAAAGGAGATCAACTTTTTAATGTGTTTCGACGACAAACTAAACCAGCTGTGCAAAATATCTATCACGGTAGGTAAGAATCAATAATTTGCGATCAAGATCAGGCTTTAAGTTCTTTATTAAAAGTCTCAGACGAAACAGTGTGGCAAGTGTTCTTTGAATTAAAGAGAAATCAAAATTCATTTTGTCAAGTTTATAGTTCAATACTTTTAAACTCCTTTGAACTGTGTACTTTAAACATAAAGGGAGGTAATAAAACTCTTCACCGGATATGGTTTTTCCGCCATTGAAGACAATGTTTACAAAATGAGTAAAATGACGGGTTATAAAAATGACGATTGAAAGGTATCTCTGACGTTCCTTTATTGGTATTATATTTGAAGACTTGTCTTCTCGTAAATTACGTACATGTCAGTCAAGTCATAGTTTAGTCTGTATAAAAGACTCTTCAGACTCAGCACATTTAAATCCAATCTGAATCGAGTTTGAAAGTTCAACCTTTGAATTGATTCCTACAAAGACTTCACTCTAACTTATTTATTTTTAAAACAGAACAATGCACACTCAAATGTAACCATGATTGTATGTATGTATTTAACTCCTCACTATATTGAACTGAAAAACCCAGAAAAAATATGGTTGTTAGGAGAAATAAGCTTATTAATAGACCCGTATACAATGGTTTAACCTATTTTCGTGCATATAAGGATTCAACACCGAATTTCATCAATGTTAAAAAAACGGAATTTTTTTTATGTCTTAGATGTTTCCTCAGATATTCTACAAAATAATTAAATTGGTTTGTTTCGATTTTCTTTATGAATCCCTCACTTTGACCCATATTTCATGAGTAACCAACTCGACAACAGCTGCAAAATGCATCACCTATTTTCCTGTACAATGTTTGATCTATAAATAAGTCGAGGAAAACATGTTGTATGGATACCCGGTGGTAAAATTAATTTCTCTTAGTATTTATCTTTAATATTAATTCATTATAACTAATGACAATTCCTTCAAAGAACCATGATTTAAAAACAAAATAGTGACTAACAAAATATGATACATAGCATGATTTATTGCTAAAAGTCACTGAAACAACATAAGAATATGGTCCACTTTGTGTTCCATAGAATTTTTCTGCTGACAGGGAATCCGCTAGTTAATCACGCGACTTCATTTGTTGGACTACTTTATAGCAGACGACGCTTTGAATTCCGATTACAGTTTGGGATTATTAGGAATTTCGGCCGGTAAAAAATTGTGAGGTTTGGTAATAACTGAAATCTGCCATTTTGTATTTGTCAAAGTATACATTAATACATTTTACCTTGCTTGAAATTACTGGATTCATTCTAGTACTGATATTGTACAGATAACCCATGTTTATCAAAACAAGCAAATGCTGAGGTCAAACGAGGTCGCACATGTAAATTATGAATCCTTTCCGGAAATGCACGAAAAATAGGTTAAAACGAAATCAGGTTACTTGACTGTACAACACAATACAAAACAATAATTTAATTGTAGCCCGAAACATCTGCCTCTATTCCAGTCTCTGATATCTTTTTGATGGTTGTCAGGTGGAGTAGGGCCAGAAAAACTAAGACCTGTTTTATAAAGATTTTTCTTCATTGTCGGAAGGCAGAGTTTTTAGACCAATTTAATTACCTCATTGTATCCACCAAACCTATTATAAAAGCCTAGGGTTAGGGGAAAATATGGATATTTTTGAAGTTCAGTCATACACAGACATGTGTACAGGTCAGGAAAAAATATCTGGAGATTTGGTGACTCATACTGGTCATCATTATCCCCCAAACACTATTTATGTCATGTCTGCGCTTCCCTCAATGTTTTTTTTTAAGATACTAATCTCTTGCCAGCCATCAAATAAAGACTGCATACTTGTGCATTCAAGGATCAAGGCCAATGGTTAAATGATACTAACAAAACGGTGATGCCCTAGCATCAGGGTGGTGGTGGATTTGAGATTAAATGAATATTAAATTGTCTAAGAAAACCCAAACCTTCAGATGTGCGGAAAACCTCCATAAAACAGGTCTTAGCAATTCCAAACAATGAAAATGGCACTTCAGCTTATTTACTTGAGAAACCCTGGATTAAAGGTTTTCTGAATTTCTTGTGTGTATCTGGGACACCGATAACATCAATTTGCACTATTCCAATTTTCCAATTTTCAGTCAGATGTCTGTGGTTCCTGCAATTTCACTAAATCTAAGTGTTTGATGACATCACTGATTGCAAATGTCATATTTTGTGATAGTAACGTCACCAAGCACTTAGTTTTGATAGTGTCATTGTTAATGAAATTGCAGGAACCACAGACATCTGATTGAAAATTGGAATGGTGCAAAGTGATGCTATGAGGGTTTAATGAAAATTATTTTTTCAGGTTTATGTAATTAAGTAAAGATGGATATAGACAGTGACTATGATATGGTCAGTGTCAATAATGTGTATATTGATAATGCTGACGAAGACTCTGAAGCCTCATCTATGACAGACTTCTTGACTGACACATTAAGTCCACTGATACAGAACAGATATTCAGATGAAAGGGCTGTCCATTCCAAAATATTGACAAATAAGTCAAATAGTGCTACTTTTAGTGGTATTGACACACCAAAAGATTATGGATCATCTTCAGCAATCTTGATCATTGACAGTGATAGTGAAGAGGAACTCTCTGATCCAAAGGTTCCTCAAATACCAATAAATCAGCATTCTGATCCTTGGCTCAATGCCTTAAATAGATGTATGTATGCCCAGAAAAAGGACTCAGGAAAAGATGTTCCTAAAGTAACTGAAAAGAAAAGTAAGCTTCCAATTGATGATTGTGTCCTGGTTGATGACAATAGTAACAGTGACTCAAAGAATGACCTAAGAAACATAGTCACCACCAGTCCAGAAGCTGATCTTGGTTACTGTGAAGGAGATGATGTTGATGATAAAATGAGCATAGACAATGGTATCCACAACACACCAACTACAACTTCAGTCCATCCATCAACCTCAGGTACATAGTCTCAATTTTTTTTGTTAAAATTATAAGCCTACCCTTCCAAGTCATAGCAATTCAAAACAGACAAATATATAAAGGTTTCACTTGAAAATCCACACTAAGTTCTCTAGCAATTTAACAAAAAATTTGGTGGAAGCTTATTACCCTAAGTGAAGCTATGCAACTATTATAAATTTGAAAAATTGCTGAAGTGTACAAGAATGTAAAGTGATAAGGATTACTTATGATGCAGGCACATTAACGGTTTTTTGTCTGATACTAGAATCTTGTCAAGACTTTCGCCAACTGGTTGCGGGCACACCAGGAGACAGAAAGTCTCCAGTCGGTTGTTTTCCACTATGTTGATAATCACATAAAGGAAGGAAAATGAATCTGATTGGATGATGAAGCTCTGTCTTGCAGACAATAAAACAATCAGCAGCAAATATCAACTGGTTTGGTTATAAATCTGATGATCTTGTCGTTGAAGCGTGTGCATGAGTGAGAATGTACTCCAGATTCAGGTCAAGATGGACAAAGACTGTTCGTCTGACCAAACTATATATCATATCAGTTTTTTAAACAAAAATTTAGGCAATAATATTAAAATAACAGTAACTTCATTCATCTGTTTCAGAATCAACACCAGTGTTGAAATCGCCAAACGTTGGTAGAAAGTCAAAGCAGAACCGAAAATATTACTGTACCGATTGTCGAGCTGTCTTCTCAGAGCAACATGAACATGATCGATCTGTTGAAGAACAGCAGATGAAGCAACAATTCACTTGTGATTTCTGCCATGAAGAATTCCGCTCACTATTTGATTACTCTAGGCATGGTCAATCTTGTTCCAGACGCTGTACGTGCCATTTTTGTGGACATGTTTTCGATGAGATTGTACAATTGAAGCAACATCTGTTCACAGAGCATGCTATTTCCAAAGACAATGCTTCCAGCAGCGATATTCCAACAAATTCTTTCTCGATTAGTCCAGAGAATTTTCCCACATGTAGTTTCTCTGAATATTCCACCTTCTCAAGCGATTTGGATACATCAAAATCAGAACCAGTTGAACAAGAAGAGCTTGTCAATTCCACTAAATTCCCATGTGATATATGTAGTTCAGTCTTCTCAAATGCCTGCAACCTGAAGAGGCATACCACAACCAAGCATCCTGGTCAAAATAAGACCAGAAAAAGGCGAAAGAAAGGTAGATTTAAACTAAATGTCTACAAAAGACAGTATATGCAATATAGTCAAGTTAAAAGTAAACAAGTCAAAGCACCACGTAAACAAGTAAGAACAGGTAAACAAGTCAGAACAAAAGGTAACTAGCATACTTATTTATGTAAGGGTGTATGAGTTATACCATATCTCACCCTTGATAAAAGACCCAGTTCTGGTTATCCCATTGTGCTAACTATGCACATGTTCAATTAACCAGTGTTTTTTTTCAGCTGTTGTCAGTTTGACCCTTTTGCAGTATTCACTGCAAACTTTCGTTAGGTTTTATCAGCTTTTATTTCTAATTTAGCCACTTAAGTTAGGGTCTAAGGACACACCCCTTGAACATTTGACCCAATAACCTTTTGACCTCACCATATTTGGCATGTAGAGAAACTGTTGAAATTGACAAGCTCTATGAACTTTCCTGCAATATGTAGCTTTATATTGGACAAAATTAGGGACTGGAATACAGGCTGTATCAAGGGTTACATTCATCTGATTCATACACCCTTGGTGAATCATGATATATTCTCAAACAACACCAACCCCTTCTTCTCCACACACAAACTTTGATATCCAGACTTTCAGCTGATTGTGTTAAAAGATGCCTGTGTAAGGGATACTCATTTGCCTAGAATCACCAAGCTTTGACTCTCTATAGTTGTGAAGTCAATTAAAATAAAACAAAGCTCACAGAATGACTTCAAGGGTAGTCTGCTATAATAGTAGACATTACAATGAACTACCAACTAAGTCAAGCTTGGTCTACCAGCAGGATCATCAAAATGAGACATTCAAAGAACATCTAAGAATAAAGCAACTGATAAGATTCCGAGTGCTCAAACTAACTTCAACACCCATTGAAGTATTATTTTTGAGTTGTGATCCTAAGTAGCTAAAATTTATGATTCTTCTACTGGATTAGGCTGTCCTGGATGTAATTCTCTTCCCAAATTCGTTCATTGAAACTGGCATGCCTATATAACCAGGCCTAAGCTACAGCTATGATCAATGTAGCTGTATAATCCTTCCATTCCAACCAATAACCAATTAATTTTCATCTTTTCAGGTAAATCCACCAAAAGAACAGTAATCGTCTCCCAGCAACAAAAAACATTTACATGCGACTTTTGTCAAAAAAATTTTATCTCTGTCGAAGAATACTCTACACATTGTAAGAACTGTACCATTCGATGTACCTGTCCATTTTGTGGTACAACATTTCAAGCAATGAAAGTATTAAGACGACATATGTTCACTCAACATGATCTTTCTGAGGATGAATCTGAATCTCCCGAAGTATCAGCAACAGCAGCTTCCCAATCCTCGAAATATCCATGTTCGGAATGTGGCTTGAGTTTAACTACAGCAAGCAATCTTCAGAGACACATAAGATCTCAGCATCACAAGTCTACCAAGAAACGAAATACAGCTTCTAAAGTTAAGCTGAAGAGGTATAATCCTCAATCGTTTAAGAAGCACAAAGGAAAACAGCCCACCAAAACTGTGAAGTCAGAAACTAAGAGTAAAAGTGCTTTGAGTCCACAAGAGAAAAGAAAACATACCAATCTTCCAGAAAAGATACATAAGTGTGATGAGTGTGGTTCAAGTCTGTCAAATTTCCATAATCTGAAGAGACACAAAAAAATTCATGCAAAAACCAAAACAGTAGTTAAGCATGAAGCTGAAACATCAGGAAATCTGGCTGATAAAAAGAAAACTGGAAGGTTTCGTTGTGGTATCTGTGGAGATTATTTCAACCATTTATTTAATCTGGAAAGACATGCTATGAAACATTCAGAAGCTACACCATATCAATGTCAGGTCTGCTTCACCAGATTCTCAGAATTTCAGCATTTACAGTGCCATTTTGAAAAATTCCATATTATGGACAGTTAGCCTGAATTTGCATGTTAGTTTTTAAGCCAGAAATTTGTATTAATCATGAAATCACCAAATTCGTTCTTATCATGAGTTTACAAAATTTGTACTTGTCATGAATTTACAAAGTTTGCACATATCATGAATTAACAAAATTTGTACATGTCATGAATTACAAAATTTGTACTTATCTTGAATTCACAAAATTTGTACTTATAACCAATTTTTTTTAGTTCTGTCTTTTGAGACTAAGGTTGTGAGTTTTAATGGACACATTTTGAATTCTTTCCCTTGAGATATTCAAAATTGTGACAATATTTAATTTTAGTGGTATTTGGTATGTAACTATTTATTTTATCTGAATGAGCAGGTTGAAATTGACCATTTTCTTTTCAGTGGCTTTTGTAAGTAAAGATAATGCAGTTTTCCTGAAATGTTTTCTTAATTGAAAATTTTGACAGGTTTATCTTGCTGTAGATGGTTACATTTTTGGATTTATGTGCAAAATATCTTTCCTTAACCTTTCTTGATTGGTCACTCATTGGAATTCACCTGGTAATTCTCTTCTGATTTAGCTAATTATGAATTAATTATGGATATGTGAGACAAACTGATATTTTTCATTAGTCATTAGAACACCTCTATTCATATAAGTATTAGCATCTTCATTTTCATGAATGAAATTAAGGGAACCCATCTTTAAATACAAGCATAATGTAACGTTCCTCATACCTTTATTTTAAGGCCCCATCCCCTCCTTGGCGCTATGAGCATAAAATGCAATAGTACATGAAATCTCTGTAGTACTGTTGTATGATATAAGGTTTGGACATCTCTGATATTAACATATAATATTATTGTGATTAAAACTTATTTCCCTATATATCATATTTGTAATGAACTTTTCTCCACTATCAATGAAATTAAAAGCCTCTACTCTTGTTTAAATTTTTGTCTGATTTGTTTGGTATGAATTAAATATATCACTGTTAAAGGGACAGATGCGCCATTTTGGTTGATTTGAGTGTTGAATATATGTAAATAGTCTTCAGAAGTACTAGATAAGTAAGAATTCGCAAAATTCATTTAAAAATACTTTAAACTAGGAATTTTGCTTGTTATTTCTATGTCTTTTCTATAATATATATATCATAGAGTGTTTTTAAATGACGAGTCGTCATTATAACATTTAAACGCAGACAATTCTAGACACACGTGGATTTGAAGGCTCAAATTTCGAGGTGAACTTTGGAAACTATTACGGATTGGCTTAGCTAAAAAATAATCCGTTTCTAGAAGTAAAGCCGGGGGTCCACTTGAGAGTTTTTTCTGCGAGTCACTCGGGAGAGAACTGTCAGTGCTCATTCCATTTGAGAGCAATTGAGAGTAAATTTTATTGCGAGTGCTATCAACTTACGCGAGAAACTTTCAAGTGTCCTTCCACCTGAGAGACAAATTACATCTGCTCTCGGGGCGGGGTGCGAGTTGCACGACATCTTGCCAGCTTGATGTACAACTTCCGATTGGAAAATTTTGTCCTAGAAAAAACGAATTGCTGCGGCTATAATTATAATCGATGGAAAGACGAAACAGGGAAAAAGAGTGCACAATGTCTTTTCGTACCGATTCGGCCAAGTTCTTCCATGCATCGTTCATTTTCTGCCTGTCTCGAAACACAGTCGATTGAACATCCCGAAGCACAGGGCGAGTTTCATATTATGTGATGAGGCGCTCAATTTCTTCACGTGTCCATTCCGTACGTTTCGACATATTTCAGACTCCAGGTGTTGTGAAAAATATGTTAGGCCTGTTAATAAAAAGCTGACAGTTCTCGCAGAAATAGAACACTGTTCTATTCTTTGAGAGCACTCTCAAACAGAAATCTGTATTCGACAGTTTGTAGCAGATCCTCTTCCACTTGACAGAAAATCACTCGCCGCATTTCTATCGACAGCTGGGTTCGAATGCCTGACATTTTATAGGAAACCCCCTTCCACTTGAGAGAAATCACTCCCAGCAGTTCTTACGAGAGTTGGTTGCGACTGTCCAACAGTTTCTCGCAAAATACCTTCTACTCGCGAGTTACTCTCGGAAAGAGAACTCGTGCTATAAAACTCTCAAGTGGACGCCCGGCTTAAGGTACGATGGGTCCAAAAAAATGGCACATCTGTTCCTTCAAGATGCTTAATAAACGATATAAGACAATTCGTCTTCAGTCGACAACACAGTACTCTTCTCTGAACAGCAAATCGCGGAGAGAATCACAGGAGACGCCATTGTAAATGCTATTTGCTATTTGCTTGGTCAAGTTTTGAGTTCATACACCTTACATGTTGACACGGTTGCTTCCTTTGGAGCATAGTCTCTTATCACTTTTCAGAATGATAATCAAACTTCTAGTGTCATAATCCCTTAACTGTTACCGTGATCGAATAACGTTTTACCTTTCCTGTCTTGAATTAATTAAAGATTTTGCTCCTTGAATTTTCATACTGCTAAAATGAGAGCGTATTTTCTAGAAATATCTAGATCATCTGAACTTCTCAATGGTCAAGGTATTACGTCTTCTTGGCCCATTTTCTTGTTTCACGGAAGTTTGTAAATGAAGCAATTTGATTGGATTGTACGCTAGCGAATACAGCCAATCTGAACCCTCGACAGAAAGTCTGTAAGAAATTATTACGAGTGAAATTGAGAATTCTGATGGGCTGTATTCGCTAGCGTGCAATCCAGTCAAATTGCTGTAATCTCAAACTTCCGTGAAATAAGAAAGTAGGCCATTGCAGTCAAGGTATGAGATGAAGATGTAATGCCTTGACCATTGTGAAGATGTTCCACTTTTTCAATCCTGAAATGCCGATTGGCAAGCTCTTCTAACAGGTTAATGAGTGACATTTACTGGATTGGGGACATAGGAAGGTAGGAGATCGATTAATTAGAAGATAAGTGACCCCTGTGGACAATTGACTCTGGTGCATTGGGGAGGTGGTAGCTTTATTTGGAAACACAAAAAATTACAGCCCTTGCACATGCTATTTTAATTACTACAGGGCTATCACAGCACAATTTCATGGATACACCTGCAGGAAGTTAGAGACTCATTACGGAACCTTTTAGACCAAAAATAGATGAGATAATGCTTTGATTATGTCTTGCAGCCATTCAACTGAATGTCATATATCAAGTCATAAAGTTGACATTTCACTGTCAACCATCTTTTAAAGATGATCCTTCGTGTAATTCATATTTCCGTAATAGTAAATTCCAATTTATTGTTCAACTTAGACAAAGGGGAGTTCCAAAGAGTCTAGATGTCGTTATATTAACAAATTTACCCCACTGTACACTTCTTTTAATAATCTTCAGGTGAAGAAGATGTATGTATAATGATAAAACTCAATTTCATTTCATATTGTTATTTCAAAACCAACTCTTGTGTAGAATTTAATATATAAGTGAGACGCCATCTTGGCAAAACTTCCCCCATTGTCAATCAGTGGCGGCACCAGCATCCCGATACTGGGGGTACAAATAATGGATAGACTGATAGGAGCTGAATTAAAAATGCAGCAACTCTGTGGAGCGTCTGGTTCAACCACAAGATTTTCTAAAAATTTAATTGATTTTGGTGCATTCTGACACGTATTTTGGGACAAACACGTATAAAAAATCTTATTTGATTAATTTGTTAAAAAAAAGGGTGGTTGCAAACCATTTTCCCTTGTACCTGCCACCGGCACCGCCACTGTTGTCAATCGCTAAACAGAAACTAGCTGCATGTAGGCCTATGCAAGAATTTACATTATAGTTTCCCTTTATCAGATTAGAAGAAAACGTCATCAAATGTTAATGACTTAATGCGTTTATTATGAATGGTTGTCTGTAATGGGATGGTTTTCATTCATTGAAAACCTTCAATCCAGGCCTACAGACTAATGATCTGAATAAAAACCCAATAAATGTCAAAAACATACTATCTTTGATTTCATTTGATAAAGAACTTTAGGAAAAACCTTTTTAAAAGTTATCATTACGTCTGAATATTTTTTTTTCATTAAATGAAAATGTGATTGAGTTTAAGGATTATAATAACCATACAATAAGTATAATATACATAAATACGTTCCATTTTTTGGGAGGGGGGGGGGGGGTATAATGAATAGGGGCAGTATCTTACTGTGTCTTGGATATTCGATTGAATATTCTTGTTACTTTTGAATATTCAAGGTCTTAAGTCAAATATTTGCGTCTTACTTTAGGTTTTCGGATCTTCGAAGTGGAAATAAGAATTACAAATTGGTATATTCGACTGTTCATAGATATCTGAATCATCAAGTCGGATATTCGAGTTACAAAGAAACCTATTCGAATCATTAAATCACACATTCAAGTTGGATTTTCGAGTTACTATATTCGAGTTACTAGTTTGTATATTCGAGTTTACTCAGTCGGATAGTCGAATTACAAAGTTGGATATTCAAATTACTAAGTCACTTATTCCAGTTACTAATTCGCATATTCGAGTAAGACGGATATTTCAGCTTCTGAGATGGATATATTCGAGCTATCAAGGTGCATAATATATTCAGATTATTAAATCAGATACTCGAGTTAGTCACTCGGATATTCGAGTTACTAAGTCGAAATTTATATTTTTAGCTAGAGAATATATCTGTAGAATAATCCCACGGTTTCCTCTATAGAATGGAGAGAAATGGAATGAAATGAAGAATTATTCGGGTTCTGTAATTGCCATAATTTGTACTATAGAAATTGGTCTGACTTTTTTTTATGTAAGTCAGAGGATGATGTCTGAAGGTATGGGAGAAATCCCACTCGTTTCCTGCAGATGGGAGAAATGGAAAGAAATTAAGAATTATTCCAGTTCTGAAGATTCGACTGCCATAATTTGTAATACATAACCTGGTCTGACTTTCATTAATCTGTCACTGGACGTATGGAAAAATTCTGCTTGTTTCATTCAAATGGGG